AGGATTGTCGCACCATCACACACAGGTTCCACTTTTGCTCTGAAGAGCCGTTGCCGTTACTGTCTCCTGATTTTATGCAGAGTTGCCAGTCTTCGGTTGAACTTAAGTTTTTCATCAATAATCACGCCAAGATATTTAATCTCCCGAACGCGATCAATAGTCTCATCATCAATTACAACAGAGACGTTCTCATTTAATCGATTCCGCGAAATTACCATAAATTTAGTTTTACTTGTATTCAATTTCAACTGATTGAACTTCAACCATCTCCTTAGAGAACGTAAATCTTCATTCAAGTGTAAAACGGCATCATCTTAATCCTTAGCTGCAATGACCCAGACAACCAGAAGTCGTATAACAATGTGCAGACAGTATCGTAAATTGCTATAGTTTAAGTCAAAATCGCATATAAGAATGGCATGCATCGCATTATGTTTAAGTTTAATCGTATAGAATCCAAATTTCCGACCTATATGCGATGATTCATTTTTCAGTAGTACGGTATCACAAATCAAATCGGATTACATCGTAAGTCTTTTCAAAGTGAATTTGTTATTACAGATTAAATCGTATATGATGTTAAATCTACTCGTTTAAAATTAAATTAAAATTTGCACGTATATGGCCTCCACTTTTGTACGTATAAGCCATTTCTTTGCATTCTATACGATTTGTTGGTTTGTATATATGTTTGTATATCACGAAAACAACTTTGAATATACGTGCATTCTGGTTGTCTGGGGAATAACACAGTGTCATCTGCAAAAAGATTAATGTCGCAAAATCGTGAAACACGTCGGAAGTCATTAATATACATAATAAATAACAGGGGCCCTAATACACTTCCCTGGGGCGCTCCAAGGTTATTCTCCACGGAACTGGAAACAGAATTATAAAAAACAGTCCGTTGAGGTATGTCAGACAAACCAGCTTTCAAAACATTTGTATGCAGTACTCGTTATTCCAAAGCGCTTGATTGATCTTAACAATAAGGGCCTAGAAATTGTTTCAACAGCGCGTTTAAGATAAAAAAAACAGCAACAATCGTATCTTTGCACTCCAAGTTATTTTTCCACTTCGCTAATACCAAATTCAACGCGGTTTCACAAGAATAACCTTCCCGATATCCCGATTGTTCTGGTATCAACAAACTATTACTATTCAAATACTCGAACAGCTGGCCTTTAATAACAAGTTCTAAGATTTTCTCTAATGTGTGCAACATGTTGATGGGACCAAACTCTTCGACTTTAATCGTTCCAGCAACTTTTTGAATAAAGACAATTAAGCATTCCTTCCAAATTTGTGGCACATGTCCAGCAAGATGTGGCCAATGACATGAAAGCAATCTTGAATAACTCTAGCATTAACATAATCTACTCCAGCTGATTTTCCTAATGAAATACAAATAACTCTAAGTTCATCTAATGCAATTGGGTGAAAACCTTCAAATCTACAACTACTATTAACTGGCTGTTTTATTTCGTCAGGTTCATCGACCAATTCAATGGATTGATTAATCAATGAAACACTGTCTACAAAATAATCATTACACTTAGATGTAATAACTTGTTCTGACTGTTCTAACGTGCCATTAAAAGTTATGGATCGCGGAATGCAATTACTACGTTTTAATAAAAATTTCAAAATTTTCCATAACTCTTTGCTGTTGTTTTGATGCTGATCAATCTTCCTTTGAACATATTCACAACGAGGTTTCTTTATCGATTGTGAATACTTATTATACGCGATTGTGTGCCTATTCCAATGATTGTCATTATTTGATCTACACAACTTTTTGTTCCATTTCTTCCATTTCCGTTTAAGACGCAAAAGATCCAAATTGTACCAGCTGTTCGAGTTTTTCAAAGAAACAAACTTTTGCTCAACTTGATTTCTTGGTACACGTTTTCAAAGCGTTCTTAAGAACAGCTGTAGATTCATCTAAGTTACCGGCCACGAATGGAAAATCCACGCTCTTCTTAACAAGATTCGAATCAGCTTGCTTCGAATATTTCCTCCAGCAGTTCAATTTTACAAAATTATCGTTATCGTTAACATGGTCTAAGATATTAATCACTAAAGTCTCATGATCGGTTATTTTCAAGTCAGTATCCGTAACTGAACAAATGGAATCAAAATTGGAATAAACGTGATCAATTAAGTTCTACTGTGCCTAGAAATACCGCTTGCTGTAAATTAAAAAAAAAACTCAGCTAAACGCTTCAAATGATTCGAATTATGGTTATCACGCCAATTAATATTAAAATCATCAGCTAATATATTTAATTTACTAGCCAGTTCTCTAAAACTTCAACAAAACGGTGGTCACTAGAACTGGGAGAATGATACAAAACACCATAATTACCCATCTTCATGCCACGTACATCTGTAATGCCCAAGAACCAGTTGCCATCAATAACTTCGTTGGTACGAAGGGTGAATTGAACTGATTCTTTGACATAAATAGCAACACCCCAGTGTGTCTAGAATGTGATAAACAAGCAGCAACACTATATTCCGGAATACTATATTGATCAAAAGCTTCAGTTTCTACAATATGAGTTTCAGATAATAAAACCAAAAGAGGACGTTTTTCCTTAAAAATCTGACGTAATGCTACGTAGTTTGTTGACAACCCCGCAATATTCAAATTCAAAAAATCGAAAGGATTCACATTCCTGGAACTTGGCTTCTATTTACCGAAACGCAAGCTGCTTTTCTTCTGATCAAAAAGTCTTTTATAGACTCTTTTGATTTAATCACAATGACCGGACGAGTCTAACGATTACTCTGTTTGTTACTGTTACTGTTACTAATATTTTTACTTTTACTTGCACGACTATGTCTTTTTACAACAACCGCAAAACTCGCATTTTCTTGAAAAACATCATCATCATGATCACTATTACTAATTTACGTTTTTTGCGTCCGGTATTTTGGTCCGATTCCGACTGAATCGTCCTAGATACAATGCGCTGGTCATTCGTTACAGCTAATTGTTTTTCCGCTGTAATTTGAAAAATGAGTTTTTCATATTGTCCAATTTCTCATAAATTAATTTTTGAATACCATTTACATTTCGGCTAATGTCTACCACCCCGCTCTTTAACGCAGCATGCCAATGCCAGTGATCGAGTCCGAGAGTTGAAATACATTCTTCATCTCTTCCTCTATCCTTTTGACGTGCGAGATGAGATCGTTCTGCTCGTCGCAACTCTGATCAATATAGACAATGATCACACTTGAACAGAACATTTGCATTGTCCGTGATAGGCTTTGTCTGAGTCCGCGTAAGTGCAGTGCATTTGCAATGAAATACACGAGCACACTTACCCACACAGATAACCGGCAAATCACTTACCAACATTCCCAAATAACATATTGCACACTCTGCCTTATCTATCCACCTATACACATAAACTTTACATGCAACACTACAGAGACACAAGTAAAAACGAACGAAAGCAGAAATTTACAATGTCACAGCTTACTAAAATGTAATTGCCTAGAAGTTCTCCTCAGAATTATCTTGAATTAATTCTCAGAATTCTCTTCCGAATTTTCCCCAAATTCCTCAGGAAATAACCTTGGTAATTAATTTTCGTTAAAGCTTACTTTGAATCCAATTTATAAATTCCAAGGAATTCTACTCAGAACTATTCGTAATCGATTCGTAATGGAACATTTGTTAACTTTTTTCCATTCAATATGTCAACGATAATTAGTAATGCTACATCTTCAAATCAATAGAGTCTCGGCTTCGTAAAGGTTTTTTAACAGTGGAGTCTTACCAATATAAATTTTTATGAGGATCCAGATTTTTTGGGTGCATTTACCAGTTATTTTTGAAAAGCTTGGATCGAAAGTCGGTTTTCCAAGCGATATGTATATGTAAAAACATCATTTTCATTTTTCGCTAATGGACGCCAATCTCGACACCAAGTGACTTTTCCAAGACGGAAAATGCCTGAAATTCCAGTCACATCACAAAGATTAAAATTGAAAAATCTCTCGCGAACACGTTTCACCCTCCAACCGACCGTGAATCAACATGTAGAGAATCACTTCACTTTCCCGTCGCAATATGGATACGAATGAGCAACGCTTCGTACCAAAACCTACATGACCTGTAGGGGAGAACGGTCCACAATGCATCCCGGGGGCGAAAAAGGCCTCACGCGGTTTTTCATTACTTTCCCATTGCACATTCTGGGATTTTAGGTGCCGAAATGCTAGCAAGTACTGACCTACCAATGATGCACGTTAAATCTCCGAATTGATAATGGGAAAGTTATGAAAAGCCGCGCGGGGACATTTTCCCCCAGGGGTGCGTTTTGGCCTGTCCTACCCTACCTTGTATGTAATCCCACCGGCTGGTTGCTTGTTGGACGGAAAGCCCCAGAAGATAATGGATTTTCATTGGTTTGACGTGACATCGTGACAGGCTTTCCGGAGTTTTTTTTTTTTTTTTTTAGTCTTTATTATAGAGATTTTTAGCCTGGGGCTAGTTCATCTCTTACTTTCCGGAGTTGATTTTCTCGGGAATGGAGCAGATGCCAGTCGAAAACAACGTTCTAAGAGAATGAGCTGTTACACCACATAACACGAGTGACACACGGCAACCTCATCATGATGACAAAAGTTTCTTTTTCGAAAAAAAAAATCGTTTTTCAATTTCCAACTTTCAAGATTGAATCGCAGTTGATTCCCTAAGACGGATATTCCAATTGCGCAGCACAAAATCCCATAAATTCTTTGTAATTCATCTACGGCTTCACAGCCAAGAAATATGAGTGATATAAATTCTCTGGAATCCATTAATGTTGGCAGTCCGAAGCGAAATGGGAAATCCATTGGGTACCGAGGAAAATCCCTTTCAACAACCGCTGCAGATAAGGAGGCGCCCGAACGCAACAATAACATTACATCATGGAGACGCCCGGCTGTTTACTCGCTTCCGTCGCCCCCATCGATAATCTATATTTACCAAAACTTACCTTCTTTCTATCCGCTCCGCTCTGTGGCTGCGGCGACGACGACAACGACGACTCGTTCCACCCGAAAAGAAAAAAAACTCGTCCTAGCCTTGTAATATGTTTATGTTTTTCCCTAGTTTCTTCTTATTCTTCACCTAGCTGAAATTCAATACACCGGCACCATATGTGAGCAAACAACACGCAAAGGAAAGAGAGCCTGGAAAAACAAACCACAGCAGACTGGGTCCTGTGGCTGAACAGACGTCAACGACAACAACGACCACAGATCGTAGTCGTAGTAGTCGTGGTGTTTGATTTCTTTTCCCTCCTCTGCCGGGTTGGGATTTCCCTTTCACTTCCTTCCCACAGAGCTACCACATACACACGCACTTTATCGGTAAAAAAGAAAGCTTTCCACGTCGGGTCGATTGTATCGCACTAACACCACCACCGCGCCTCTTGGGGGAGCAGAGGGTTTCTTCTTCCTCTATCCTGGAACGGCCGGGATGAAGATGCATGAAAAGAAACGAAAATGAGAACATAAATTTCTGTGTGTAATCTTAACAGCAACAAAAGCGCATAGCAGCAGGCGACGAAAATTCCTGGTAATTGAAAGGACCAAAATAGAGACAGAAAAGGTAAACATAAATAATGCCCTGTGGAGCCGTTTAGCACGTAGTAGACGGATATTTCGGCGTGACGCACAACTGCGTTAATTGCGGTAATATGCTGGCTGTGGTGTTGTTGCTTTTTTCTTGTATGATTAAAGTATTTCATTTTTAAAGTGATTAGATTGAAACTACAGTAAATTCTTCGTTACTCGAAATTGTCCCTAACTCGATGCAAATTTAGACTACATTCACATTGAGTCGATAAAGGCGGAGCTACAAAGCAAGACAATGGTGGGAGGTGGCTGGGTTTGATCAGGGAACATCTAGGGGTTTGCTTATGAGAGTTTTGAGATCAACGAGAATGTTGTCTGGAATTTATCACTTTAGTTGCAACGGTATTTTAAGATGGATTCCAAGGGAATGCTTTGGAGAGTTTCAAGGGCAGTCCAAAGAAAATCCGAGTACAGTTTCAAGAGAATTTTCTGGTAAGTTTAACCAAACGCTAATTTGCGGCCGGATTCCTCTGGTGGGAAATCGTAAAAACAGCGATATCACCTTCAAAATTATGTAAGTAATTTCCAATGCTCTGTGAAAATCAGGCTGTTAAGAACACAATAAGGAGCAAGAACTAAAAATATTCGGAAAAAATCATCGAATTATCTTAACTCTTTACTACTTTTGCATTTACTTAAAGGCGCTCCAATGCGCTCAAAGAATAGATTTTTGTTGGACACAGCTGAATCAAGCAGACACACCAATCTACTCGAAGGTTAAATTTTGTCAGAAGCAATTAGATGTAACATCTATTAAGAGACGCACATACCCATTTGGAGGTTAAATTTTGTAACAACTAATAACGTCTAGCGTCTACGGAAATAGATTTTTATCAACCCTCAGAATCTCAGTTCAATTTTGAAATGTGCCAACACCTAGTGGGAGCTGATTTTATATTAGACCCAAAATCATTGAAATACCCAAGGGGTAGATCACTCCACACACCAATCTTGGGTCATCTTTTTTGTCAGTGTTGTTACGATACCACAGGGCAGGCTCATTGGTAGCGAGGTGAGTTCCGTACCACCCAAGATCTGGCAACCAGCAAACGTCAAACAGAGCATAGCCGGTGACGTGTCACTCAAACGTCACTTCAGCAAAAAACAACAATGTGATCGTGAAAGTGGAGTAAATTCGAGAGTAAACTAAAAGTCAATGAAATCGAATATAATAATAAGTAAATCCTACCTAAAGCTTGTAAATCTAGATTTGGTGAACTATTGTCAAGTGAATTTAATGAAATTATCAACCTAGGTAAAATTATATACATTTATTGCCTATTTACGCGCAAAGAAAATCCTAACCCTAAATTTATTATAGATAACTAGTTCTACTATTAGTACGGCTGGATTTATACCAATTGCTTAATATTACAAACCTAAGAGTAAGTACTTAATTAAACTTATCCTAACATGCGAAATTTGTAAAACTTAATCAATATTTATAAAACCTAGGGCAATTTGTTGCTAGCGATAATTCACGTTCACATAGAGTTTCGGGTTTGAACAGGAAGAACAACACGAAAATGTAAGTGAAAACCTTTATTTAAAATCCATTAAAACTCAAACAAATATACAATTACAGCTTTGAAGCTGCTTATGCTGCTATCAAAACTTGATAAGTTCTTTAGTGGGAATGACACTGATGAAGACTGCACATTGTAGTCGAAATACGTATCTGTCATGGATACAAAAATTAATTAAGTGGAATTAAATGGAAGATAAACCCTTTTGCTGTTTTATTTAGCATTCCGCTAACAACCCAATTTCATTACTTCAATATCAAAACGTGTTTACGTCTGCCCGAAAATCTATCCGAACAATCTTTAAAGATTTTCCGGAGGTTCTAGTCGAACCGAAAAATGAGCGACAGTAATGCAAAACACTGTGCCAAATGCGATCGGCTGGACACAGCAAACCATCTCGTTGGATGCGATATGTGTGAGACGTGGGTGCACTTCGACTGCGCGGGTGTTACGGACTCCATCGCCGATCCGGATCGCACTTGGAAGTGTGATCGATGCCGATCGCTGGAAGATGATGTTGTTTCCCATTCGAGGACGTCCGTCAGTCGCTCGTCTATGAGTAAACGCTCGACCCGAGTAGAGCTAAGCCTGCAGATGATTGAAGAGCAGAAAGCGTTGCGGATGAGGAGAATCCTAGAGGAACAGGCGGCTCAAGCAGTAGCGCGAAACAAGCTAGCCGAAGAGGAGGAGCGGTTTTTGAGGCAGAAGTACGATCGCTCATGACCGAAGCGGATGATGCGGAAGAAGGAGCCAGTAGGAAATCAAGACTGAGCAGTCGAACTAGTCGAGAGAAGGTTCGATCGTGGCTTAGCAGACAGGAAGACAGCACAGCACAGCAAGTGACAGTAGTGCCCTCCAGTAGCATGAAGTCAACGGTCGTAGCCACAGAAGCAGTTCAACAGTCTACAATTCCAGCTCCTATCACATCAAGTCCGATCACGTCAAACGTTCCCGCCATAGTAACTTCGGATCCAGCGTCAACTTCAACGCCAAATTCAGTGGATGGTTCCAGAAGCGTGAAGCGTTCATTGGCAACGATGGTACCTCAAATTCCGATTCCAGTGAGGTCAGACGGCAGCTTCGTATCACGCACCGAAATCACATTCGACGTTCCCCAACGGCCTCTGGTAAGTTCCTCCTTGCTTACGAGATGCAATTCTACTGTCGGGATCGACACTTCAGCTACGATGGATGGTCCGCGGAAAGTCAACAGTAGTGCTCCGCCTCCGAATATAGAAATTCACCCTATGTCCAGTAGTCATTACCCACGAGTTAATAAAGATCCAATTAGTGGGAGTAGGGCATCGGGATGTGGTGATTATGCCGTCACATTTCCCTCAAGTAGTAGGCCAATATTGCAGGATAGCATAGTAATTACAAGCGTACCACAAGTCTCTTCTATAAACTATGGGTGTACGCCAATTGTTAGCTACAATTCCGCATTTCCGACCGCAGTATCAGGGCAGAGTCAACCGTTCGCTACAAGCATTCCGGCACAAAACTATAGTAGTAGCGTCGCCTTTCAAAACGTTGGTACTAATCCAAGAACGTCATTAGTCACCGGGGGTCAAGGGTCATCCCAGAATCCCGTCTCATCAGTACCACTGGTACACTCCCGACCAGTGTTAAGTTCCGGTTGTCAATCAACGTGGATCAATAACAATCTGGCCAGTACGGATGTCGGTGGGATACAATCGGGAAATGTAAGTCACATCCCAGTTCCATCGCAGCGTGAAAGAACGTTTGTCAACAATGGGGGGGCCCCAGTAACTTCTAATGGGACGGTGCCACCTGCATACATCGTTGATCCACTTCAGTTCGAGATTCCGGTGACGCAATCAGCGGCGGGCTCAAGAGATTCCCGCATTCCCTGGTTTAGCCAACAACCACCATCTCAACCGCAACATCCACAACATCAGCATCCTGTCGATCCAGCTAGAAGTGGGCCATCTAGTGGACAACTTGCAGCGAGACAGGTGATGCCACGAGAGTTGCCGAACTTTTCAGGAGATCCTCAAGATTGGCCGCTGTTCTATAGCTCGTTTTGGAACTCTACGGAAACATGCGGGTACACAGACTCCGAAAACTTGGCGCGATTGCAGCGCTGTTTGAAGGGGAATGCATTGGAAGCAGTTAAAAGCCGATTGCTGATGCCACAGTCGGTGCCCTCTGTAATTGATATATTACGGAGGTTGTATGGTCGACCGGAAATTCTGATACATTCTCTCCTCCAAAAATTGCGTTCAGTTCCCTCTCCGAAGACCGATAAATTGCAGTCACAGATAACCTTCGGTCTCGCGGTGCAAAACGTTGTGGACCATATGTCTATCGCCAATCTTCATGACCATCTGTGGAATCCGACACTGCTTCATGAGCTAATAGAGAAACTGCCATCTCAGCTCAAAATGCAGTGGTCCTATTACAAGAGCAGATGCGCTTATGTCAACCTGGCGACCTTCAGCGCTTTCATGTCCGAACTAGTGGTGATGGCTTCGGACGTTACGCTTCCAATAGACGGTCTCACCATGAACGCGAGATCCATCAAACCGGGGAAGGAAAAACCGAAGCTGTATGTACACTCCGAGGAAACGAAAACTGGACAAGTAGTGGACTACGACAAGAAGCCGTCAGTGGAGTCGATGAAGAAGACCTGCACGTACTGTGCCTGTGCGAATCATGAAATCGTGAACTGCGTACAGTTCAAGGGACTCGATCTGGATGGGAGATGGAAGGCGATCAAACAAAAGAATTTGTGCAGAAGCTGTCTCATACCACATCGGAAGTGGCCCTGCCGTTCTAACAAGGAGTGCGGCGTCGATGGATGCAGAGTTCATCATCACAAGCTACTGCATTCAACTAGGAATCCCTCGCAAAACAGAGTGGAAGCAGGAAGCTCGTCGCGGTCTACGAATAACGTTGTGCACCAAAATCTCCACTCTTCGGTTGCATACTCTTTGTTTCGATATTTACCCGTGACTATGCATGGTAACGGTCAGCAAATCAACACCTATGCTTTTCTGGATGATGGTTCGTCGTCTACCCTCCTTGAATCCAGTATTGCATCGGCGCTGGGTATCACGGGGCCAACCGACAACTTTTGTTTGAGTTGGACCGGAAATATTTCGAGGGAGGAGAAAGGATCTCAACGTGTAACCGTGGTTATCTCTGGCGTTAGAGAGAAGTTCAAACTCAGCAACGTTCGGACAGTGCAAGAGCTTCAACTTCCAAGTCAAACAATGCAGTATGAAGAGTTGCAGCAGACCTACCCGCACCTGAAGGGTCTGCCAGTTCGCAGTTATACGGAAGCTACGCCGGGGATCATTATCGGACTAGAACACGTTCGACTTCTAACTTCGTTGCGAGTACGAGAAGGTAAAGACAACGAACCTGTGGCGACGAAGACGCGCCTCGGATGGTGCATTTTCGGAAAGAACTCCGGCAATGATTCCGTGCTGGAACAATTGAATCTGCACCTTGATGGTGATCCCGATAATCGAGAACTACATCTGTGGATGAAGCAATTCTTCGCAGTCGAAGAGTCCAGCGTTACCATAAAACCGGAAGCTGAAGAAGATAAGCGAGCGTGGAAGATAATGGAAGCTACGACCCGAAGGGTGAATGGCGCTTTCGAGACGGGACTTTTATGGAAGTACGATCACATCTGCTTCCCTGATAGCTACCCAATGGCGCTACGTCGGCTGAACGCACTGGTCAAGCGATTGCGAAAGGACCCAATCCTCGAAGCGAAGGTGAGGGAGCAGATTGCAGAGTATGAAGCGAAAGGGTATGCACATCGTATCACGGCAGACGAGCTGCAGTCTACGGATCCCAGCAAGGTCTGGTATCTACCTCTAGGTATTGTGCAGAACTCGAAGAAACCGGCCAAGTTACGGCTGATCTGGGATGCCAAGGCTCGAGCTGGAGGAGTGTCTTTCAACGATATGTTGATGAAGGGTCCGGACCTTTTGGTGGCGCTGGTAGCAGTACTGTTGCGTTTCAGGCAGAGGGACATTGCTATCGTCGGCGACATAAAGGAGATGTTTCACCAGCTCCGCATCCGGGACGAAGACAAACAATCACAGCGTTTCCTTTTCTGCCTTGAACCAGGATCGAATCCACAGATCTACATAATGGATGTCGCCTTTTTCGGTGCGACCTGCTCGCCTAGTCTGGCACAGTTCGTGAAGAACGTGAACGCGAAGGAATTTGCCGAGACATTTCCCAGGGCGGTGAATGCAATAATTCATAACCACTACGTTGACGATTTCTTGGATAGTGTAGACACGGAAGAGGAAGCTGTGGCGTTGATCAACGAGGTGAAATACATCCACTCTCAAGCAGGGTTTGAAATCCGAAACTTCTGCTCCAATTCGGCCGAAGTACTGGCAAGCATCGGGGAATGCAGAACACCACAGGAAGTATCCATGAACTTGGAGAAATCGACAGACTCGGAGCGTATACTGGGTCTGGTGTGGAGGCCAAAAGAGGACGTCTTCACCTTCGATATGAGCAGTCTCAAGGAAGAGATCAAAACGTTGATTAGCGGCTCAACGGTCCCAACCAAACGGCAGGTTCTGCGCACTGTCATGTCGTTATTTGATCCGCTGGGACTGGTTTCGCATTTCGTCGTGCACGGAAAAATCTTAATGCAGCAGATCTGGAGATCCGGTACCGATTGGGACGAACCTATTCCGGAGGAATTGCAGGATAAGTGGCGGTGTTGGTGTGAGTACATGCAGCGCTTGGAAGAGGTGGCAGTACCGCGATGCTTCTTCAAAGGAGTGAACAGCTCCGCTCTCGAGAACGTCGAGGCACATCTATTCGTAGATGCGAGCGAAGTGGCTTGCGCAGCAGTTTTGTATCTTCGCTTCGTGGACAACGGTTCTCCTCGATGCGCGTTGGTGGCGGCTAAAACAAAAGTTGCTCCGCTGAAACCCCTTTCCGTGCCACGTCTGGAGCTACAAGCGGCGATTGTTCGGGGAGCGTCTGTCGACCACCAGGAAGCCTGATCTGGACGTGGCAGCGACGACGAAGAAGGTGGCGGTGAAATATAAGCGAAATCCTATAAATAATATGTTTTGAGCCTGAAATTGAAACTTAAGACTAAAAGTCTCTTGTACAAAGTTGTTCCTTATAGTTAGGCCCTCATTTTTATGACAATGAATTCTAGGGTGGTTCCTATTATCATTAAAATCAAAAATCTAACTTTTTTGTTTGAATAAATTAAGGTATACATTTTTCGGCAAAGTTATAGCTGAGCTAATTTCAAGCAAATTTGTGGAAATTAACTTTTTTGGCTGATTTAGAGCCATTTCCTTGAATTGAGTTAGGGTGGCTCTTAAAAAACCTGATCTAGTTTTCTTATTTTGAATTTATTGGCAAAGGTATCTGCAAATAACTTTTAGATCTTAAGAAGGCGCAAATTTTTGCTCCGCAAAGCTTGTCAATATCTTTCGTTGATCAAGAGTTATTGACGTTTTTATACTAAAAATATGCACTTTTCAAATGTTAATATCTCTGGTTGGGGCAAACAAAAAAAAAGTTTTTTTTACGGCATTTGAAAGGGCATATGTTATTCTCAATAATATGAAAAAATTGAGGTATGTTATTTTTTAAACTCGTATAAAATCAATTTGAATTTATTCACAATTTTTACTATATATGGGTATATCTTTTTTATTAGAAGAGATACAGGCAACAAATTCAGCTATGAAACATTTGTCTTAAAGAGTTTTAAAAGTCTTTAGAAGATGACTTTCATGATAAATTTCAAATAAAAAAGTTATTGGCAAGAGATGGATTTCATAGGGTCACTCTAATGACAAATTACTAAAAAATGTGCTAGTACATTTGTTTCAATATTTGGATATTTAGTGTCTTGGAAGTAGTTTTTGTTCTTAAAAATTCCCCTCTTTTGGTGTTTGCAAACGTCAGGGTGGTCTTCAAATTAGGGAATTTTTTAAACTAACTTTTTTGTTTTACAAAATAAAAACATGTTTGTAGCAAAGTTAGTTGCAAGCAACTTTGTCGAAGTAATTTTTTTTCTATATCTTAACGTTCTTATTTTAGAGTAATTTTTTGGAGTTGACTTAGGGTGTTCCTGGAAAAAATAGTTTTTTAGCAATAACTTTTTTATTTGAAATTTCTCATGAAAGTTATCTTCTAGAGAATTTTAAAACTCCTTAAGACAAATGTTCTATAGCTGAGTTTGTTGCCTGTATCTCTTTTAATAAAAAAAAAGATATACCCAAATTTAGTAAAAAATATGAATAAATTCAAATTGATTTTATACGAGTTTAAAAAATAACATACCTCCAATTTTTTCATATTATTGAGAATAACATTCGCCTATTCAAATTCCGTAAAAAAAAACTTGTTTTTTGTTTGCCCCAACCAGAGATATTAACATTTGAAAAGTGCATATTTTTAGTATAAAAACGTCAATAACCCTTGATCGGCGAAAGATATTGACAAGCTTTGTGTAGCAAAAATTTGCGCCTTCTTAAGATCTAAAAGTTATCTGAAGATACCTTTGCTAATAAATTCAAAATAAGAAAACTAGAGCAGGTTTTTAAGAGCCACCCTAACTCAATTCAAGGAAATAGCTCTAAATCGGCCAATTTAAGAGATGCAAAAAAGTTAATTTCGACAAACTTGCTTTAAATTAGCTCAGCTATAACTTTGCCCAAGAATGTATACCTTAATTTATTCAAACAAATAAGTTAAATTTTGGATTTTATTGATAATAGGAACCACCCTAAAATTCATTGCCATAAAAATGAGGGCCTAACTATAAAGAACAACTTTGTACAAGAGACTTTAAGTCTAAAGTTTCAATTTCAGGCTCAAAACATATCATTCCACCTAAATCTGTATTCAGGACCACTGTGCATTGCTGCAATGGAAGCACTCTGCCCCCCGTTGGCGATACTGTCATACAATAAATCCACTTTAAGCCTCTTCCGTACTGATGGTGGAAGCTTATTGAATAGGGCAAGATATAGTGTTTATTGTAATGTACCTTTTCACTATAGTTTTAAGATGTATTTTGTGATTTTGTTGTTTTTCAATAAATTGTAGCACTTCTCAAGTAACATAGCAAGTTATATCGAGGTTTTAAAGCATACTCTGCCGTTATACGCATAACTGTCCCATGTTCTATGCAGTCTTTATGCATCGTAGGACTCTTATGCGTATAACGGCAGTACTACAAGTCTAAATCATGGTCTACAAAACCCTCTTAAACCACAATTGTTACTTGGGTTCTGATCGAAATGATGTCTGAGTCAAAATTGTTTGGAAAAGTTAAGTAATTCTGGGAAAAATATACACGGTTATTTTTTAATAGTAATTTTGAGTAATTCAAAAAAGTGTTAAACACTGAAATATATCAAAAAGTACATCTTCAATATTAATAATTTATTTATTAAATAAAGTACACGAAAATGCAAACTTTAGGAGTATTTAACTTGGTTTTTCATATAATTTTTGCACTGCGAATGGTTAAGAATGTCTCATATATTGTTTCCTGTGTAAAGATTACATAAAAAAGGCGTACTAGCAAAAATTGACAAAAAGTTCTTGTTCAACGATGTTTGTTAATTTTCAATTGTCCAAGGTTTTAAATGTTCCAAAAGTTTACATTTTTATGAGCTTTTTTAATAAAAAAACATGGAGAACTTTTTGAACAATTGGGGTTTTTTACACTTTTTTTTATTTTGTATCGAAATTACTAAGCAAAAATACAATGTATATTTTTTTCCAGAAAACCTTTATTGTAATCTGCAACTTTGTCTCAGGCCTCATTTCGATCAGAACTGCCATTTTCGTGCTACAATTTATTGAAAAAAAAAAATAAAAATACACTTTCGAAAAAGAAATTCGACATCCACAATTGCCGATTTTTTTAAAAATCTGGTTGATTGTCCATAACTCACAATTATACATAGTTCTATGCAAATCGATCGGAAGGTCGAGTTTTTCCAATTCCAATTTCCGGCGTGGAACTGCTCACCTTGAAGTTATCCTTAAAATTTGTTTGCAGTTCTCCTTAAAAATCGATTAGAAGAGTCTCTTCAAAGTTACTTTGCAGTTTTAGTCAGAACTATCTTTGAATTCTCTTTAAATTAACCTTGAAATGCTCCACAGAATTATCTTACACTTGCAATCCTACTCACGAATTCATTGTAATTCTACTCATAACTACCTTGAAATTCTCCTTAGGTTTCATCTGGAGTTTGGAGTTCCGCAGAACTAATTTGAAAAGAATCCGTAGATTTCACTTTCTTAAAAAATCATCATTTTATATTTTCCTCTGAATTCTCTTGAAATTATTGCTGGTGATCCTTGAAAATCATCATCAAATTGATTCATTAAAGTTCATAAGCTGAAACTTTTGCATGACCCATTTATTTTTTAATCTTGGATCTTGGAATTTGATCAACGTTACAGATTCTTGAAAATGTCTCCAAGTTTGATTTCATTAGGTACAAGGTTTCAAAAAAGTAATGTTAGATTAAAATCTGTTGAACTGTAAAAAACATGATTGCAGCCAAGGAATTCATGTTATTACTGGAGATAAATTCACTCCAGAAGTATTTCGTCTAAAGAGTAAGAGTAACTAACGAGAAAGATAAATTTGGTTGCATTACAAAATATTTTGAAATTCTTGAGATGGATCTCTGGCATACTTCAATATAGTCTATTCTTTTCAAATTCCCAGATAATCATTGCTCTAACTCGATATTCTCTTTAACTTAATGGAAATGTAGGCTACTTTGACCACTTTTCCCACACAAGTTTCCAAAATTTACCTCCCTAGCTCGGTATCGTCCCTAACTCAATGGTCCCTTTAATAACGAGATTTTTCAAAAACTATCAGATTTTGTCTCACTTACAAAAAAAAACTTCCAAATTCTCCGCTACTTATCAAATAGCAATATTCTGCCTAGCAAAAAGCTCTATTATAAGGTTCGTTAGATTAACACATCATTCGCTAAAACACGCTGAATCATTCACCTTGCCCCGAAAACGACAAACCTCTTCATTGGTGAACATCGTCGAATCAAAAAAGAAGAAGAACAAAAAACGTGACAAAAGCCGGACCAGCAGTGATGGTAGTGGTAAGCGAGCACGGAGGGAAAGAACATGCCACGATTTTCCTGTCCTTTTCAATCAGTTTCATGCTTCACCACTTTCACCACCCTACCCAGCTTTTATGCTACATACATGCATCATTTTTTTTCTTGTCCTTTGACAACCACGACACGCGCGAGCAGCAATGGGGATAAAAACAAACACACTCACTCCCCCCACCAAGTGGGCGCTGGAAAACACTTGTTGTCAATGGTATCAGCCGCAGTCGCAGCAGCAGCAATCTTTTCGTGAAAACTCATAAGAACTATCAATCGTCGATCTTATTCGTATTGGAACAATTTCAATCTTAAGTCAAAGGAAATAGCAGGGACCCAACTTCGTCTAGTAAATATTTGATTGCGCGAGTAATGAAAAAAAAAACCCCTATGTTTGTTTCCATTTTCTGTCTATATGTGTTGGTGAGCAATTACCGATCTCTGCGGGACAATTCGGCAGGATCAATCCATAAAACAATCAACTCACTTTTTTTTTCGTTAAGTACAATGATCCAACGGTGACTTGTCACAACTCACAAACTGCCCTAACTTTTCCAATTCCAAACCCGAAAGGGAGCTTAAATTTTCCACCACTTTTCCACACACTAATATGAGAACCGACGGCGAACGAGAGGAGTAACTTTTGCCTTCTTCACTGCTCCAAGTCAGAGCTCGGTATGAGACGATTCGGTGGCTGTCGTTCGCTGAAATAGCTGATCGTGGGTGGACGGGGTCGTCCTGTCGTGCTCCGTTCTTGGCTCGTCACTGGCTCGTCGTTCGTCGTGGGTCGGATTTTCTCCTCTTCTGCAGCTGTCATGTGGTAAGATGGCTAGTGCCAAGAGCTCAATGGATGTGTCACGGAGGGAAATGCTTATGGTGCTGTTTTACGCGTTCGGAAAATGCACCCTGCCGGAGGGGAAAAGCTGCGCGAATCGAAGCACGTACAGGGGGCGATTTCATTCATGATTTGCTCCGGAGCGCATTCGGTGGGGAATCAATGGTTGAGTGGTAAAACTGTCCCGTTTGCAGCTTGGTTTACGGGTTTGAATTTTCTCCGGCAGGCAACTGACGATTTACTTAACGGGCGAAGCTGAAAATGCAACTCAGTATTTGCTGCAGAGATGCAAGCGTTGAGTTAAATTTCGAGATCAGTACGGCATATGGTTGATGAGATTTGTGTCTATTCTAATGTAATCAAAAACCAACGCAGGCAGTTCATGAAAGAATCGTTTTTTCTTGTATAGGGGAAATGGGTCTAATGAGCCGTATGAATAAAAAGAGTTTACTTTACTTTCCCGTGCTTTTCTTACGGGGAAAGTAAAGTAAACGCTTTTATTCATACGACCTAATGTTAGCCTATGGATCTAAGATTGGGCCCATCACTAAAAATCTGCTATTTATCAATTTTATCAAGATGAACGCGTCCTTGGGACGGTACTAATGGATATTTTTGGTCTATTGAAAATTTAGTCGATTCCTGTATTTAGGCCGACATTACATCCATTTCCCCTATTTGGTACATGTTGCACATCAGACGTTCGCAAAATATATGGCCAGGCCTACTGTACAGCATTTAAGGGGAAAGATGATACAGAAACATCGGGACTGTTTAATGATTTTTTTAGAATCCAATAAAATGATGAAACGTGGAACATACCGTATCGTTGTATTGGCGATTGCAGTGGAACGTTAAAATGCTAAATCCCTCTAGTTAGTATGGACGACTACCACCATAAAACTTAAAAAAGCTGTTCCAATCGAGCAAAGTGTTGTAGTTTGACGGTTCGATTGGAACAACTTTTGACAGATACCCATACTTTTACTGTAGGGCTTTATAAAATGCATGAACTTAGAAAACAATTCGACAGTGAGCATCCATAAGGGCGTATACGCGAATATCGATTCTCTTCATCGATTTTACCTTTGCATTGATACAGTTAAGCGAAACAATTTTCTCGAATTTCTTCAATGCAGAGCAACAGCAAACGTACCGAGAAACGTTAATTCTAGCGAGTTATTAACACAAGATTAAATCGACGAAGAGAATCGATCATCGCGTTTGCGCCCTTATGCATGCTCACCGTCGAATTCATTTGCAGTCGGGTTATTGGCGTTGACGGCACCGTCGAAAAATCTTCTCTTCCAGCCAGTATAGACAGTTTCTTATGGGAATTTTTGGTTGAGTGCAAGGATCCCAAGTAACAATTCTAGAGCTGCTTGGCTATATTCAAAATTTATAAAGGTTTTATTGCAGCTGCAACCATTACCTACAGCTTTATGACGGTCATATACAATGCAAGTCATGAAACATTCTTATAGCTAGCTACAAAACCCCTATAAAGCTAATTAAAAAACCAACTGATGCTAATGCTATTTTCACTTATGAAAGGTTTTATGATTGCTTTGAAGTATAAAAAAAAGTAATATGAATTGCCCTTACAAAACCCAAAAACTAAATCCTGTTGTTGCTTTATGCGTAAGCGCAATAAAACTAGTTGGCCATGAAATGGTTATTTTAAACCAATTATAAGCATTCAGTTGCAACTTGTCAGAAATGTAAATAGGCGGTTTATTTCTGCAACATAGAAAAGAATCAAAACTTTCCGGTACTTCCAAGCGGAGCGCAAAGAATATCAACAAAATTGTCAGCATGAGCATGAAAACATTTCGTGTATACGTATACGCGACGTAGTGTGCGTAAGAAAAACGTCAGCAATCTCTATAATTCTTTCGTTCTCACTCGCATATACATGGGGTGACACGGTCGAATCTTGGTCGAAATGCATGGAATGGTGACAGTCCTAGGACAAAAAGGTTGAAATCACGCATAACTTTTCATAAAGGTTAATGTACCATTCAAAATTTTTCCAAATGTTTGTAAAATTCATCGGTTGCACCCGTAGTATAGGAATATACATTTGCCCTCAAATAAAAAAATGAATTCAAGCTGAACATTGCATTAGGTCCTAAGCAACATTGACAGATTCTCTTCTTCGACTTTCTCTTTGCATCCCCACGGTCATGTAAAGACTTAAATCGCACAGTATGTTTCTTCAAAAAAGCTATTTATTTAATGTATTTGCATAAGAGAAAAATATAATATTATATAGTTGTAAGCAAAAAAACCGAAACAGAAAGAAAAAACCATATTTTCGACATTTTTTCTTTAACTCCATATAACTTGGAACTAGTAGACTGTGCAAATTTAACGTCTTTTAAAGAGCTGTTCATTTTGTCAAGATAAACAACTTTGCCCAAGACATCAAGTCTCCAAAACGTCAGAGAAAGAAGTTAGATTGTGGCACCATCTTTGCGGAAGAGTTTTGAACTATTTGTTTATGTCAATAGATGGTCCTTATTATGATGAGAAATTTTGCCCAAGACACCAAGTCACGGAAATGTTTCATTTCAGAGTTATTAATTTTGCTCCGCTAGGTTGGATTTGTGACCCAGTGTGCAAGACATTTTAAGAAATTGCGCTTGGTGTTTTTCTTGCCTGCTGTCCTCTGTCGCCATATTGTCATTATGAAAATGCCATTAGCCTTGGAATAAAATCCAAGAAATTTCAATAAAATAATGGCTAAATAAGGGATCCGAAATGATTTCCAGTGTGCATTGGTATGAATTTATGTATTGAGATATATTTTCTGTAAAATTAAGGTTCTTTCATCAAATTCATTTGATTTCTGAAACAATCTTTTTTGTTAACTTGAATTATTTTGGAGGCGCATTTATTTAACGCTCATATTATCCCAATATACACGATAAAATTTCAAGCGCATATGTTTTGGAACTTCAAAAAAGTCGTATATTTTCTCTAAGATTTTCACTAATGTCGCCATGAAACAAAATTGATTGCATGATGATCTTGACACCAACACTCAAACCTATTTTTACCGATAAAGATTTCCATATTGAAAAAAAAAAGTTTCAGCAGAACAGAACAACAACAAGCTAATTTATGGCGGTTGCTTTGAAGCCAATAAAAATTAAATTGGCTTTATAACTGATTTTCACCAAAGCGTAATAAAGCTGCTTGGATACAATATTACTCTTATAGAGGCTATGAGAACCTTTTGTAGAGTATGGGGCTTTCTGATAAAAGGTTTTAAGACAGCTTTATTGTGATTCTCAAACATGCTTTATAAACCTTATCAAGAGTGGTCCACTAAGCTGGAAGACGATCTTATAGCGGTTATCAAGAGGTTGTGCTGGAGCTATTAATTTTATTGACGGTTTTATAAAATTGATCTCAATAACCACTAATAGAGTGCAATAAAACAAGAAATGCTACTTGGGATAGTACGACGTCCGCCATGTTTCACGCACAGTCTAACGTTTGCTTATGTATTTCATCTTAGCAGTAAAGAGCTACACAGTCGCCGTGAACGCCAATTCGCGAAAGAGAAAATGTTGCGCGAGAATTAGTGTTTCGGCAAACAATTGCAATCTTTTTATTCATAAATAATTGGCCGTTGTGAGCATCTAGGGTAACTGATGATGGTTGGACCTATTTAGGCCGGTTTCACACGACGTCAACATTCATGTCGTATTTTTTTTTTATGAATTCAACATATAATTATGAAAAATGCGTGATTGGGGGAAAGATCTACCTTTCTTGTTTCTAATAATAACATAAAAAGTTAAATATTATGAACAAATGATTTTATAAAACGTTTTTATTCAGCAAAGAATTATGATTTTGGATGGACCTAAAAAATGATGATGGTTGGACCTATTTTTGCAAATGCTAGTTTAGCCCATATTTGTTCAAAAACTTTGTTTAGAGCTAATTGGTATCATGAAAAACCCTTTTTATACAGTTTTTATGAATTTGCTATTTTAAAAAAATCAAGAAATTTGAGTTTAACTTTGTTTTTAAAAAAGTTCACTTTCCACGCATTAGCTATTCATCATGGCTCATTTTCTCGGAAATCATTGACCCGATTTGGAAAATTTTTAACGTCAAACTATAGGTATTGTGGTTCCATTGAAAGCTATCTAATATTTTTGGAATCGGTCAACTGGTTCCGGAGATATGGCCGGAACAAATTCCAGGGTATATGGAACATGGACCTAATTTTGACATGGAAGGAATAAAACCTATCATTTGATAACGAGATCAATAACAAAATTGAGTGCCTTGGACCACATTGGCCACTTCCGGGCATGTTCTGGGTGCCTCCGGAGAATTTAGCGGTATAAAATGACTGAATATCAGAACCTAATTCCGGTTTATAGTTTTTTTTTTCTCCTAGGTGTTTTTTTTTCGGAAATAAGCTTTAGTTAGCAATTTTTAGTTTGTTAACATTTTATTTCAAATTAATTCACACATAGAAGGTGTATGAGAAGTACTCAATGTAAATTCATATTAACAGATTCTTTCGGCGCTTTCGTGGTAGTTCGGAAATCGGTGGTTACCCTTTCAGCCAACCTGACGATGGAATTCCTCCTTTAAATTTACGCCCAACTAGTGACGCAAGGTCTTTAGCAGCTTCCAAGATATTTTTGGTCGTCTTGGGACTGCCAGAAGCAGCGCACATACAAACCCAATCCCCTAGCTGGTTCTCCAAATCAACATTCAACACTATTTCCCTTCCATATTTTTTGCCGTGTTCCCTTAATTTTTGCGTGAAGTGTCGTTTTCGGAATATTGTACCTTTTCTGTGCCTGAT